GCATGCAAAAGCTGGCCACTGAAAAATGAACATAGAAGAATGGACCTATTAAGAATCGGGTACTGGTCATTAGGAGACCCCAAACAAATATATAGATGCAAATGATGGGGGTCGGAGTGGAGACCCCAAACCCATCTGTAAACAACTGGACAGTCCCTCACAGAAGGTTACAGGGAAGGAATGAGTCAGCCAGGGTATAACACAGAACTGACAAAATACACAACATTCCTCTACTTCTTTAATGCTCCCTGTCTCCCCACTATCATGACCCCAGTTCTACTTTACAAATGTGGCTAGACCAGAGCATGTATGCTGGTACGGATAAGAGCTCTGGGTACACGGAATTCAGGACAAATAAACCTCTCAGGTACAATAGTGGGAGTAGCGATATCATGAAGGGAAGGGGAAGGCGGGGAGAAAAGGGGGAGAAACAGGGAACCAACTACAATGATCGACATATAACCCACCCCCCAGGGGGACGAAGAACAGAAACCTGGGTGAAGGAAGACAGCATATGGTGTAAGATATGAAAGTAACAATTTATAATTTATCAGGGGTCCATGAGAGGGGGAGGGAGAGAAAAAAGAGGAGCTGATACCAAGGGCTCAAGCAGAAAGACAATGTTTTGAAGTATATGTAACTTAGAAGAACTGCAACCAGGGTGCTTTCTAGAAACTGGTGGGGCTTTGGCTTGCTGACTTTGATGCACGTCACTGGGAAAAGACATCCTATTTGCTCGAGGGTCAGCAAAAAGAGTAGAAGTCCTCAGTGGCGCTAAAGCTACATCAGCAGAGTAAAACGTCAACGATCCTGAAGGCAGCAGGGACTGGGTAGCATTTCACTCAATCTGTGTAGAAGGCCGCTGTGAGTGGAGCCAACTTGATAGCAACTAACGCGATGTTGGTTTGTCGTGCAGCTTAGACTACGGAAATCTTCCGTATCCCCCATCCAAATCTGTCCTGCTAGAATGGAAAGCAGCGGTTCTCAACCTGGGGGTCCAATGACCCTTTCACAGGGGTCGCCTGATTCCTAACAGTAGCACAATGACAGTGATGAAGTAGCAACAAAAAGAATGCTGTGGTTGGGGGGTCACCACCACATGAGGAACTGTATGAAAGGGTTGCACATCAGGAAGGTGGAGAACTGCTGACAAAGGAATTTCCTTCCATGAAGCAGTAGGACAGGGAAATGAGCCAGTATGTCTGTAATTTTCATGCGTATGGCCTTTCCCAAGTTCTTTCAACTCACCCAGTTTAATTTCATGATTTGTTAAAAACGAAACAAAACAAAAACAACCTAAAAGCTAAAACCAAAACAAACCCACTGCCATCAAGTCAATTCTGACTCACAGTGATCCTATGGGGCAGAGAGAACAGTTTCATGGGGTTTCTGTGACTGTAATCTGCTTGAAAGCAGGCGGCCACATCCTCCTCCTAGAGAGGAGCTGGTGGGTTCAAACTGCTGACCATTTGGTTAGCAGCTAAGGGCTTAATACTGAATCACCAGGACTCCGTATGTGTAAAAACCAAATTCCCCCAAACCCACTGCGGCCGAGTCTATGCCCCCTCACCGAGCCCTTACACGGGGATTCCAAGATGTAAACCTGACAGACACAGGCGGCCTCATCTGTTTTCCCACGGAGCACGTGGTGTGTTTGCAGTGCTGACTCTGGGGCAAGCAGGCCAGTACCCAGCTCACAGCATCGCCAGAGTTCTCTTTTACTGGCCACGGGGTTAATAATGGCTGCAACCTCAAAGGTGTTGTGTGGGGACACAAAGAACTTAATCAATGGCATCGATGACTAAATGCTGCATGTGGCAGTTAGGTCTTATGTCGGCTTGCACTTCTGTAGGGGGAAGTTCAACCTGTCAATCGGGTTGCTTCCTGGGAGGCATGGCCTTTTTATATGAGACAGTGAGGATATGTTTCTCTCACGCTCTCTGCCCCTGCCCCTTCCTGCCTGCTGGGACTCTGTGCCTGCCTCCAGGGTGGCCCATGTGGGATGCCTGACCCTGAGAGCTGTGGGCACCCTGCCCTGCTTCCAGCAATCTTGGACCTACAGGACTCTGCCCCTGCAGGCCTGTGACCCCTGCATCCCAGTTCACCTTTCTGCATCATCGGCCTGCAGAGGGCCCAGGCTAGCACTGGACCCATGGACTTGCGTTGGACTGGGCTGGGATGCGTTGATCTGAAATGACTTCTTGATGTCGAGCTCTTTCCTAGATGGAGAGGCACGTCACTGGATTTGTTTCTCTAGACAACCCAACCTAATAATACACGATCAGATGGGGTAATGTGCTACCTTTCTTTTGCCTTTTAACCTGTAGATGACAAATTTTCCTAATCAGACCCACTGACTGTGTTCATACAGTAGGACAGAGGAGAGCATAAAAGAAAAAGGAGGCATTGAGATTCATATGCCACCACCTAAGGTAGAGTTTTGAGCAAGACGGGGGGGAAAAAGGCTCAAAAGGACAACATCTATAGAAAAAGGGCATGTTGTCTTCCATCCGCACATCAAGAACCAACCCCGGAAGACTCAGTCCTCAGATCCCTCTCTCCCATGGGGCGAGGTGACAAGACTTGTGGCTCTAAAGTAGGAGATCAAGAATTAAAAGGCTAGAACAGCTCAAGATGATCCCTTTGTTGCTTCAGGAAAACAGGGGAGGAGGGGGAGGGAGGTAGAGAAGCGGTGAGACAGGAAGGTAAGTGCTGTGTCCCTGATCGTCCTGGCTGAGCTGCAGCTCTGAGAGGACAGGGGTGGGGCAGGGCATGTGCAGATGCCACGGAGGAAATGGTCCCCAGTTCTCCCCAGAGCAGATGAGCAGGCTCACAATACATCTGCAACGAGCACAGGAAGGCTGGGGGCAGGCGGGGCGCTGCATTTCTTTCCCCCGAGTAGCTCTCCACCGGGATGAGAAGTTGCCCAGGATGTGGAAGAAGGGCAAGGGGCTGGGCAGAGGCTGTGGCAGAGCAGGCCAGGAGGAGATCCTCAAGGAGACTCAGAGGGCAGAGCTGTTGGAGATGAGTCACTGACTGCCACCCTCCTGGAGGAGGCAGCAGTGATCAGGCTCAGGCACCAGCCAGGGACCAGAGGAGCCAGGGCACAGTATGGCTCCTACACACCCAGGAACTGTGTGATGTGATGTGATGCCATCCAAGGGGTGGACCCAGCCCAGGTGTGGAGTAACATCCCAAACAGAACATGTATCACAAAAACCATTCATGTCGGCCACTCCCCTCTGACCAAGAGTGAGAGAGGGCAATAGCCTGCTTATCAGAGAGGACTGGAGGCAGATTACAGTAAATAAAATGATCAATCTGATTTGAATGGTCACAATTGTCATTGGATTTCCCTTTGGAGACACTTTGAGCTTGATCTGGTTTTAATATTTTCGGTTTTGTTTCCAGAGTGGGGCTTCCCTCTGCTGTATTTTGTTATTATTGGTAGCTTACTGGACTCTCTGGTGTGTATCTGACTATGTTTTTCCGTATATGAAACCCAGGTTGGGTGAATCTATAGAAACAATAACGAGAACGAGGGTCCCTGGGGTGTACGGCAGGGGAGGGAGGGGTAATGAGGAGCTGAAATCAAGGTGTACAAGAAGGAAGAAATTTTTTTCTAAAATGATGGTGGTAGTGACTGTACAATTTGATATTGACAGGTCGCTAGATTAGGGATAAAGGGGGGTTATACTCCCAAATGCCTGCCCTACCCGAAACTAGCTGGCAGGGCTACTATAAAGGGGGTGGGGAAAAATCAGGCACGCTAATCAGAGGCCTATGGGAAAATCAGAACTGAGCATGCTCAGACCCAAGCCACCTGGACCCAGTGGGAGGTCCACCTGGGTGCAGGACCATGTGACATCACACAGGTACGCCTGAACGCAGCCAATAAGGTTGTCCAATACCCTCAACCACGCCTCCCCAGCCAGTGGGGATCAGAGCATGGGGGGCGGGCCGCTGGCCCTTGGCTGTGCTCTTACTCGGGTGAGGTTCTGCCCGTGCCCGCAGGGTTCCTGCAGCTGGTTCTGCACACGAGGTACTCTCTTCGCGTGGTTTCCCAGCATCTGGAAGTGGCCATCTTCAGTGGCGAGCTCCTGCGCCTTTTGCGCGCGCCCTCGTACGCTTTCCAAAAGTAGCATGCCCTTTTTGAGACTAATGCCTTTCTTTCATTAAAGGCACTTGGATTTGCAAACATGCTTCTGCCGCGTGAATTCTTTCAGCACAGCGAAGCAAGGACATACCACCCCAGAAACCCAACAATCTGACTGAACGATTGAATGGGATGTTTGGATGATGTACTAGTGAAATGATTTGGAAAATGCACAGTTCGAGTCAGGAATGGCCAAGCTACTGCTCCGTGGAGCTCTCAGGAGAGGCACTGAGAAAGGAAAGGCCAGACCGCTTCAGTGCTGCTCCTAACAGGATCATTTCTGAGTATCAGGATAAGTACTTTAGTGGGTCACAAAAGAGTCTCCTAAGATTATCCAGGAGTAAAACTGCATATTAGGAATACAAATTTTAAGAGACACCACTCTTCAGTCCAAATGAAGCCAGCTTTCCTCTGAAGGGAGTACAAGTGTGTGTGTGTGTGTGTGTGTGTGTGTGTGTGTGTGTGTGTTGAATCTTCATGTTACATGGACAAAACTAGTGATTATTTTCTCTGTCTGGATTTCTTCTGAACAGTATTAGTAATAATTTCTAAAAGTTCTAAGGAAATTACCTCTGAAGGGCCTGGCCCATCCAAATAAACTTAGGTGACTAACCATGAGATGTGTTGTCTCGTAGAGGGGGCTTCAAAAAGTTTGTAGGATTCCATTACCTTTTCTTTTTTCTCTTCATAGTATTTTTACTTTGAGACATGATGGGGGGAATATCATAGCTACACATGGAAAATTAAGACATGATCAGAGTCAAGAGTGAAGACAATCTAATAAAAAAGCTTTGTCGGTTAACCCAGGCGCGGAAGTGTTGACATACTGCAGGGTCATAAGGAATTAGTATTCATCTCCTTCCTCCTTGCCCGCTCCTTCCACAGAACCCACACCCACCTCCTCACAGGCCTTCTTGAGGGCAGCCATGTCCTCCCGGGTCTCAGAGAACTCTCCTTCCGCCATGCCCTCACCCACGTACCAGTGAACAAAGGCACGCGGGGTGCACTTCAGGTCAAACCTGTGGTCCAGGCGGGCCCAGGCCTCAGCACCAGGGACCACAGATTTGATTATCTTTTAAGGCCACTTTCCACCAAATGTTGAAGTCCTCTCGCAGAAGCCTAAAGTTAAATGAGACCACGTGAAGAGCTTGCCTATGTAACTGCAAATGCCGAGCCTGGATTCCTGCCTGGGGTCAGTTTCAGGCCCGGCCACTCAGTCCTGGAGGGTCCTTGGTGGGTAATGTGTCTTGGCCTCCAGGCGGGTGTGTAGTCTCAAGGCTCCGAGGCCAGATGATGACCTCTGTCCCTCCACCCTCTCCCACTGGACTGGATGGATGCACACACCCTGCCAAGCAAAGGCTGCTGGGACAAGGCCCCACTCCGGCACTATCGGTAAGAGGGGCCAGTCTGGGATTATCTACCAGCTCAACTACTTGCCGTTCAGTTGACTCACTCCTGGAGACCCCATGTGTGTCAGAGTAGAGCTTTGCTCCATATGGTAAACTCCCAGGCCTTTCTTCCAAGGTGCCAGTCAACCTCAAGGTCAGCACTGGCGCCCAATCTCTGCACTACCCAGAGCCTCAGGGGGTCATTGGTAATCTTCCTCCTTTTCCTCCAGAGGGTGGGCAATTCATTGCAGTCTTACTCTTCTGTGCAGGCTGTGTTTGCTATGTAAATGCAAGGCAGGCCTGCTCTTAACACTACCTTCAAAATTGGGAAATAGGAAATGAGCCTTTAATAACCTAAAACAAAACTAAGAACCACAATGAAGGAAGTTAGAACCTATAAAGATAAGCTGGCAATTGTTCTCTCTCATGCTTTATTTCATGGTGTAATGTGAAAGGAAATGAGCATCTTTTCTAAAACCCTCCCCATCTCCTCTTAAGCTGATGAAGCTCTGGTGACAGCAGTGGTTAAGGACGCAGCTTTGAACCAAAGTGTCTGCCGGAGCTGGGTTTGTTTAATGGCAATGGGCTTGGCTTTTTCTTAGGATATAAAGATAATCTCAGTATCAAAGTTCTCACAATTATTTATCTTTTGCCCAAAAATAATATGGTGGAGTGTAAACTTCCTCCTCTGAGGACTGATCTCATTGTTGATAGGCCCCTCACCGAGTTGTCTCTCACTCAAAGCACCCCTATCCCACAGCTGGAAACAAGGCCTGGACCTGTGCCATCCTTCTAATGGTTACGTCTGAGCCGCTGTTGCCGCCACAGAGTCAATCCACCTGCCTTCTTCACAGACCCTCGACTTCATCAAGCACGCTGTCCTTTCCCAGCGACAGGTCCCAAGTCTCCACACCAAGCCTCGCCATTCTGGCATCCAGGGGACATTCTGACTGTGTTTCCTCCACGACAGCCCGATTTGCCCCTCTGGAAGTTTCTGGCACTTCCAATATTCTTTGCCAACATCATAATTCAGGTAGGCTTTGGATGAATACTCAGCTTGTGTTAAATATTTGTATTTTTGGAAATAGAGGAAAGAACCACCCAGAGCCTCAGGGGCATTTATACAGGTCTAAACAAGGGGCATTTATACAGGTCTAAACATAGGCATGTACATATATAAATATATTTATATATGATGATGGGAAAATAGATCTATGGGCATATATTTATAGGTTTCGTATTAAGGCAGCAGATGGACATTGGGCCTCCACTCAAGTACTCCCTCAATGCAAGAACACGTTGTTCTATTAAACTGGCATTCCATGATGCTCACCTTCCAGACACAATTGGTGAAGACAAAGTGGGTGCATAAGCAAATGTGGTGAAGAAAGCTGAGTTAGTTAGTTTATTGTGCCAACCTAGCCAATAAACACAAGTGGGGTTAATTGAAGGGCGGAGGGATAAATGGCTCAGTGAGC